GCTTGGTACCTCAGAGCTTGCATCTCGAGTTCTGGCGGTGACGACGGGGCATGCGACGGGCTCAGTTCCATTCAGACACGCCCGGCGTAGCTTCATGCATCCGACGGCTTGGAAAAGACAGCAGAGCTCATGAAGCCGAAGCACGGAATTCCACCCTCAATCTGCTCGTAGGAACCATGCAGCTTGGCCCATGCCTTCTCCAACAGCGCCACCCAAAGCTCGTTCACCGTCTGGCCTGCGAGATTCATCGAGATTCTTCAGACGGCATGTCGCTAGCTGCCGCTACGGGCTGCTACCGCAGCCTTCACTCTGCAAAGCTTTCAAGGAAGACGGGGCACCACAATCCAAAGCAGAAGCGCACCTTTGCAGAGTCTCAACTCCCCAATCTCGCCTTCCCCTTCGACGTTGACATGTGCATAGCAGGGCTTGCCCGTCGATGGGGAGCATGGGATCAAATCATCCACAATGACTTTGGTCAGCTGTCCGTTCTTGAAGCACGAGACTTCGTAGACGCCAAGGCTGCTGTGCTTGTCGCTGCTGAAGAGTTCGCGGATGAGCTGAGGCTGCTCTGCTAAGGCTGCCAGCGCAGCCAAGTACCAACAATCACCCAACGCTCCCTGGTGGATGTCACATGGCGTGATCGAATCAGAGAAGACTCTGATCTCGCCCTTGTCGCAGAACTCGCTGGGGCGCTTCCAAACAACACAAGGGTTGTCTTGACTCTGCGGTTGGTTGAACAGCGCAGTGTCGTCGGGGAAGAATTCCGCATCAACGAACCTTGGCAGTGACATGCAACGGCGGCATGCTGACACTTCTCACAGGTCTTGGTGCAACTGGAAGGCTGCGAAATGCCTCTTTTCGAGCACGCCTCCTGTACCACAGTGCGCACAATGCAGCAGGAAAGAACAAGTCGCAGAGACCCTCAGAAATGAGGCCTCGATCTTGGCTGCCGAATCGAACTTGGACGGAACAATGTTGCAGGTTTTGAGGTTTGCCACGATGTCGTGCCGCCTCTCACTGATTTGAATGCAACCCCTCACTGTGGTCTCTCGGATGCCAGGCCTCTTCACTTCCTCTGCTGTCTGCTGCTGCACCAGCTTGCGATCTGCTGGCTTTGGCACCCAGCTGTAGGTGGCACTGAGCCTCATCACGACAAACACAAGGTCCACGTTGTATTGCACGTTGCAGAAGCCATTGGATGGGAGGACATCTGAGTGCAGCAGAGCTTCGTGTACCCCTTCTTCGGATCAACCTTCAAGGGCTCACAAGGTCACCCTCACAAGCAAGCAGGGAAATCAGCGACTTCGCTTGCTTTGTGGTATGCAAAGCCCTAGGTTCAGTGTGTGGTCGAAGCCTCTGCCCTAGAGCCGCCATCCCGGCAGACTCTTCCTGCCTGCGCAATTTGGCAAAGCTCCACCTCCAGCCCCGGCGGCACCTCCACCTTTGTTTCACTCGCATGGGTTGTGGCAACCTTCTCTGCACGCCCGACTCTCGAGATCCTGGGCTTGGGCGTTGCAAGAGTGCGAGGTCCCTTTGCCAGGCGGAGCCCGAAGTTCCTCCGGAATGAAGGCCGGGTATGCGAGTGTCACAGATTCCTACGGCCTCAGCTTCATAATTTGTGTTGGGGCATAGGCCGTGGGATATTGATGTGGGGGACAGGAATCAAGAGCACCACTCCAGTGCTGAAAACTGCGAGCAGATCGTTATGTGCGAACTGCAACCCTCCCTAGCTCGCAGGGTCCAGATTCACGGATTTCGAGATGTCCACGGTGAAGCTTAAATTGGCGAGCTTCTTGTTACACAAGCGCAATTGAAAACAGCTGCTTTTGCGATCGTACCGCTGCAGCAGAATTACCCCCTCCTTGGCTTCAGGCGGATGTGTTCGTCAGTCGTACTGGCGAAACCGTCATGGACGCAACGCATACGTGCAATGTGATGTAATATTTGCCCGGGTGCCTGCAGGACCTTCTTCTTCTCGTCACTTTTTTCTGCGGGATCCGCATGCTCCGCCTGACCTGCGGATCCTTGAACTGGCGACTTGCTCATCAACGGCTCTGGCTTCCTGGGAGCACGAGCTGAGACAGAGGGCCCAAACCAAACTACCCACAAGCTCAAGGCCCAAGCCGTTCCACAGGGAAGGAGGGGGGATGACCAAATGCACACAAACTGTGCATGCATGTGTATACATATACGTTGATTGGTATACATGTGTGCATATGTAGACAGGCATATACAAAAGTCATTTTCGCCCAGGCGTCTCATCGGGTGGATCGGCACTTTTCAGATCACATTCTGCTGGAGCTCCTGTAAGGGTGCTACAAAGCGATCTAAACCACTATACTTATAAGGCGTGAAAAGGAACTATATACTCTAAGCTTCAACTTCAGTGGGTGGTGCAGTCATCAATCAGTTCTGCTGATAATGCAGTCTTGCCGAGATAGCGATGAGCGCCAGAGCCCAGCCCAAACATGCCAGTTCTAACATCTGGGCTTGTAGCATGTGGTTCCTGATTTGGGCTACTGAGAGCCTGGAACGTTGCGCCGATGCGTCATAGAAGCCCTACCCTGAAGCCTTTTATTCCAAATCCTCCCGAAATCATCCCTGCCCTTTGAAACCTATTCTGAATTAGGGGGAGGGCTTTGAGGCTGAGGCTCCACATACCCTTAGAGCACGGTAAGAGCAAGAGCAGCAGCAAGAGCAAAGCGATTGCAAGAACAAGAGCAGGAGAAAAAGTGGACACAACAGCAAGAGCAGGAGCAGGCGCAAGAGACGCAGCAGAAGGAGGAGCAGAAGCCAGCGCAGGAGCAACCGCCAGAGCAGGAGCAAGAGCACGACCCCTCAAAAGCGACAGTAGAGATCAACAGACCCCCTAACAATAAACACACTTTCCGAGTTTCTATTGAAGGGGGGGGTCCCCCCCCCTCGTATAAGGCCCTCATATAAGCCCTACAGTGCCCTTATAAGAGAAACCCTAGGAGTTGCCAAAAGCATCGTCCTCCGAAACCTGGGGAGCGGCCCTGCGCCAGCCTGTGCCAGTCAGTCCGCTCCGGGCTCCCGTTGTCTTGTGAGTTTGCACGGTTTAGGGTTTACGCTCTCACGACTCGGACTTGCCAGGCGAGGTTCATGGTTCGAAGTCGGCGTGAAACAAGCTACAGGAACCCCTCGAGAGAACAACACCCAGTCAAGGGTTTTGGGTTTAGGGTTTACTAATTATTATCCATTGGGCGGAGTCGCTTTCGGGTTTTCGGCTCTCACACTCGCACTGAGCTTTCGGGTTTTAGGGTTTAGGATATGTTCGGGTCTAGTTTTGCTTTTGCTTTTCATCTAGACTGGCAAGGAACATTTACAACACGACCTCGACATCCTAAAGTGCGGAAGTGATTAGAGTGCATCTTCATGCACGCTAATCGCAAGCAGCGTTAGACAAAGGGATGTGAATGACACACGAACAATCACCAAATAAATAGAGTAGTGTTGTGTCAACCCGATCGGCTTCTTGATCTGGGAGCTCCATGACGGGGAATGTGGTCCGTCGCTCATTTG